AACAGCTGCCACAACTTCATGAAATAATTTGAGTATAACACAAAGGCCTTAAGAGGTTTGTGTTGGTATCTGACTTCTACTTTAAAACATGCTGGAAAATCAGCCTTAATATCTTTTTTTTAAAAAAAATAAAAATCAAATAGTGCATCTTTAACTGTGACATGATCACTTTCTTAATAAGAAAGGTGAACATTGCCAGAGAATGTGGTTTTTGATCTTACTCATAACCCTAATCCTTAAATAATTACATGAACGGTTTTTGACGCTGCAAATGAATTGTTCCTAATCTACATTATGATTTGTAGAACACGACAAGTACAAAATAAATTCTATGCATATCATTCTCTTAAATGACTTCACAATCAATATGCATGTACTAACATAAGGCTCACTAAATGGTAGGCATGTGTATGGAAAATGAGGCCATAAAGATCAGCTGGAACAGATGTTGGGCAGGTTCTGAATGCTGCTTACCTCTGCATGCCTACATTCTGCCTCTTTGGGTGAGGTCCAGTGTAGCACAAATGGGCATTCCCTCATGCAATGGGATTTCTCCCTTCTTCCTGCCACCCCCTTTCAGCCTCCCATGCACCCTCAAAGCCTGTTCCTGAGGGGTTGGGGGATATTCCAGGGCAGACATGGAGGAGGAGAGAATTTTTATTGCCCAGGTGGGTGGGCTTCATTAGATGTGACCCTTTGTTTCCAGGCCTCTGTTGTAAGTTGGCCTTTATGGTGAGAGCCAGTGTGGTGTAGTGGTTAAGAGGGGTGGACTCATAATCCGGTGAACCAGGTTCGCTTCCCCACTCCTCCACTTACAGCTGCTGGGTGACCTTGAGCAAGTCATACTTCTCTGAAGTCTCTCAGCCTCACTCACCTCACAGTGTTTGTGGTGGGAGAGGAAGGGAAAGGAGATTGTTAGCCGCTTTGAGACTCCTTAGGGTAGGGATAAAGTGGGGTATCAAATTCAAACTACTCCTCTTCTCCTTCTTCTTCTTCTTCGTCCTTGGCTGTTAAGCTTCTGATGGTTCTCACAACCATTATGTGTTTCCTTACGAATTCTCACAATGCACTTATCCTTCCTGTAAGCTTTCTTGACCATGCCTGCCCCGCTCCCCTCCGTACTGACATAGTTGTTTAGGAGAAAGACAGTTCCAGAGCTGTGGTGTCTTGTAAGATCACCGAGAAAATATGTTTCAAGGTTGGCTTTACCATTAAGGGGGCTCTAGGTGGTGTGGCCGCTTTTTGGTGCAGAAATGAATGGAAGGAATTTGCACTGGTTTTCACGTGGTTATCGTGGCGATGCCATAGGAAGGCCAACCATTTCAACCAAATACATGTACAGTAGTTGTTGCGTAATTTTTGTGAAGGAGAAAAATAAACAAGTACAGTGGTACCTCTGGTTATGTACTTAATTCGTTATGGAGGTCCGTTCTTAACCTGAAACTGTTCTTAACCTGAAGCACCACTTTAGCTAATGGGGCCTCCCGCCGCCGGAGCACGATTTCTGTTCTCATCCTGAAGCAAAGTTCTTAACCTGAGGTACTATTTCTGGGTTAGCGGAGTCTGTAACCTGAAGCGTATGTAACCCGAGGTACCACTGTATGTGTTTTGAGATAAAATTGATTTGAACAGGGACAAATGCACTAGCATGAAGGTTATGAATTGTAACACCCACTTTCTAGAGCAGTATGGTGAACTTGGGTCCCTTCGGATGCTTTTTGACAACTCCCACCATCCCAGACCACTGGCTGTGCTTCCTAGTACTGCTGGGAGTGGAACAATATTCAGCACCCCTGCTCTAACACTTTAAGGCTACATTCCTGTACTCACTCACCTGGTAGTAAGACCCGCTGAACTAAACTGAACTTTGAGAAGGCATTAGTAGTGTACTCCTTTTATTGTCTCTTTCCCTTAGAAAGTGTTGTAGGGATTAAAAGTTCACTGGCTAGCCATTTCAATTTAAAATATTTCTAATATGTCCTTCATTGCACATGATTCCATGACAGTATAATGATCCACTCCTCACACGTCACACTAGCTCGATAACTATTTTGTGACATTTTATTCTTGGTCACAATAAAGGTATTCACAGACAATGGATTTCCTTTTGTGTTTTGTGTGGCTTCATCAATCACAGATTAGAAACAACCTACTTTGGGCACAAGCCATGTTAATAGTGTCACAGTTCATTGAATTGAAATCTACACTTATTTTTGCTGCTCTCTGAGTTACTCCAGCGAATGCAAGTTTCCCATATTCATTTGAAGCACAGTGATAAAAGCACAAAGTTATGTAATTGTGGGTTTCCACATTGAGTGTGGTGCTTCTTGTTGCACAACTGTACCTTGTAAAGAAGTTGGCTGCTCTGCCCTGTCAAAGCATTGGCATTCTGGCTCAAGCATGTGAAAGTACCGAGGGAAACGTCTTTTGGTTGACAGTATGTTTGAAAAGCGGGATAGCAATAAGGATTAAAGCTAGCTATAAGGTAAAGGGACCCCTGACCATTAGGTCCAGTCGTGACCAACTCTGGGGTTGCGGCGCTCATCTCGCTTTATTGGCCGAGGGAGCCGGCGTACAGCTTCTGGGTCATGTGGCCAGCATGACTAAGCCGCTTCTGGCGAACCAGAGCAGCACACGGAAACGCCGTTTACCTTCCTGCTGGAGCGGTACCTATTTATCTACTTGCACTTTGATGTGCTTTCGAACTGCTAGGTTGGCAGGAGCAGGGACTGAGCAATGGGAGCTCACCCCATCGCGGGGATTTGAACCGCCGACCTTCTGATCAGCAAGTCCTGGGCTCTGTGGTTTAACCCACAGCGCCACCAAATGTACATTATATAATTGCACACACTTAATGGCAAATACTGAAGTACAGTGGTGCCCTGCAAGACAAAAAACTCGCTAGACGAAAGGGTTTTCCATTTTTTGAATTGTTCCGCAAGACGAATTTCCCTATGGGCTTGCTTCGCAAGACGAAACGTCTTGCGAGTTCTTGCGAGTTTGTTTCCTTTTTCTTAAAGCCACTAAGCCGTTAATAGCCGCTAAGCCGCTAATAGCCGTGCTTCGCAAGACGAAGAGACTCGCAGAACGGATTAATTTCGTCTTGCGAGGCACCACTGTATCTTACTTTGCTCAAGTATTCAGCAACAGGGAAAACCTTTGTAGAAAATACCACTGAAAAACAGGATCACGCCCCTTCCAGATGTTGATGAACTATACCTATCATCCAATGGCTGGTAGGAGCTGTAGAGCCACAAGTTAGCTACTCATAGTATAAAATGTCGCTTGTAATATATAATCATAAAAATAAAAATAAGCACTGTTGCAGCAGTGGGCTAGAGAAACTTCGGTGTTCTGCACCAGGGAAGCTTGGAGATGTGTTTTAAAAACAGTCCGTTCTACTTTACCTGTAGCTTTAGCCTGTCACTTCAGATCACAATACCACACTTCTTTAATATCTTTCCTCCTCTCGCCTCTCCACCTGCTTGATTTGAACTGTGACAAGCTAATCCTCTGCCATTGCTTTCAAGGTCTGGCAAAGACTTCGGGAAGGGAGAGTGCGCCAGCTAGACTCTTTGCTTGTACACCCCCTTGGGCATAGTCACAACAAGGAGTTCAAAATGCTTGCATCTGGTTTCCATTAACCACAGCTTAGCATTATGTGTATACCTTGTGATTCATCTTTGATTTTTGAAACAAGCTAACAGCATCAACCCTATTTGGAAGCTGGCACACACACACACACACACACACACACACACACTTTTATTTGTGTGTCCTTGGCAGTGTTCCAACTGCCAGCACAATTAATGCATGCAACATGCATTTCTTGTAGTTTAATACCAACGGAAAGGGTGGCGTGTGGGGACTGCTCCATTTAATTCGAACTGCAGCTTTTGTCTAAGAGGCCGGAGATGCTGCTCTAATTTGAATAAAGGAGACATCTATGCTAGGATAAACCTAGCGTACTACAAGGTAGCTAATGTTGGGAATTCCATTCCACCCTTGCTGCAGATATGTGGGATTGTTACATGTCACATGCCTGTTTGCATTCCAGCGCAGATTGCTGGAGTCCCGTGAGCGGAACATCCGCTCTGTATTGCTTTTGTTTTCTCTCTCTCCGAGAAGAACGGCAAGGAGAGAAGCCATGTTTTTCTTTGTCCTGACTAAATTCAATAAACGTAGACTAGTACCCATGCCTCGATCCAGCTCTGTTGTGCGTCTACACTGCTGAGTAATGTGTGCTCATGCACAGTTGCATGAGTCTCAGATGCATTTCGGAGGAGGATGACTGATGGATCTCCGCAGCGGCAAGGCTGAGACGGGAGACGCTCCGGCTGGGGCCAAGCCAGCTGGCTTTCCATCCCATGGTTCTGATAGCTAATACAGCCACAGAATTAATGCACAAGCTCTCTTTACATTTGACACATGTAGTAATTCTTTGCTACAGAATATACTAGCTGAATCTTGAACTGATTCTAGATGAAGCTGATGTTAGTTACTACACTTCAGGGGAAACTAAGTCACTATTAACTTCCCATATTGATTTCAATGATGCCCAAGTGCAACTTAATTTAAGCTTGAAATAAAAAAAATGTCCAGTAGCACCTTAGAGACCAACTAAGTTTGTTCTGGGCATAAGCTTTTGCGTGCATGCAGACTTCTTCAGATACCAGATACCTGAAGAAGTGTGCATGCACACGAAAGCTTATACTCAGAACAAACTTGGTTGGTCTCTAAGGTGCTACTGGACATTTTTATTATGATTATTATTTCGACTGCGTCAGACCAACGCGGCTACCTACCTTAATTTAAGCTGCAATACTGTGACCTGGGAGGAAAGCCCCAATGAATTCAATAGGGTTTACTTCTGTGTTGATGTGGTTAGGACTGTGTAGTTAGCTATTTGCATTGGGTTGGACCTAAATGAAATTTAAGTATTTGAATAGAATTTGTGGTTAAATTGAAATCAAGCAGTGCACTCCTATGCATTTTTACTTCTTCAACAGAGCTTATTTTGTCTTGAGAATGTACAAGAGTGCATTGTGAATTTAGGATGAACTGGATCGTGATAAATTATCTGGCCGTTGAAAACCTTCCATACATATTTTGAACACATAAATAGTACTGAAACCAGAGTACCGGGGTGTAAGAATTCATAACTAAGTATACGCAGTCTAGTAAACTCCAGCAACACAACTGTGTCAGAAGAAAGGGAATCAAGGAAGACTACATGGCTGTTCTGAGTTTCGCCCTCTTCGCAAGAGACACTGGTGAACTAATGGGAGCAGTTTGCCTTCCCGATGAAGTCTCTGTGTGTCTGTAGCACCTCCGACAAATGTTCCATTGATAAATATTCTTGGAACCTGTTGAGTATAAAAATTAACAAATGAAACTTATTTCTTGCATATAAGCTTAAAGCACACATGCTGTATATTCTATAATGTTACCACTTATGTCCCGGTATAGCAGGGATGGCCAACTCCCAAGAGACTGCGATCTACTCACAGAGTTAAAAACTGGCAGGTCAAAAGTGTTTTTTTAGGAAGGCCCATTTTTGCAGGGTTCAGGTCAAAGTTGTTGAGTTTTTTCAGGGAGGAGGTAAAATGTTGAGCTTCTTTTAGGGGATCCACAGTTGTTCAGTTTCTTTGGGGGGAGCCAATGCTCTACAAGTGATCTACCGCAGACGTCCAGTGATCTACCTGTTGGACATGCCTGCAGTATAGTATTTCTGAGCTGTTGCAGAAATAGCTATGGAGTTGGACAAATGGTATGCATAAATGGCACTGCAAGTTGGGCAAGCAGTGCCCAACTCTTCAATATTGAAATTGAATTGAAATACTTTATTGTCACGTGTACAACTTGTATACAGTGAGATTACATGAGCACCCCCCACTCAGCTCTCTTAGTCTTAATTCCCCTCATTTACTGATGCACACCCACCAAACCCGAAAGTCAGTTGCCCTGTTGTTATCTTTTCATTCAGCAGCCTAACAGTCCACGGATAGAAGCTGTTCTTTACCCTGTTGGTGCGACTAATCATGCTTCTATATCTTCTGTCTGAGGGCAGGAGATCAAGAAAGTGCCAGCCAGGGTGTGACTCATCCCTGAGAATTTTCCTCACGTTCCTGAGGCAATGTTCTTCCGCTATTTCATCCAGCGGATTCACGGGACAGCCCATAATATATTGTGCTGTATTCACCACCCTCTGTAGGCACTTCCTATCAGATGATGTCAAACCAGCGTACCACACCGTGATGCAGTATGAAAGGACACTTTCTGTTGTGGACCGGTAGAAGGAGATCATCAAATGTTGATTGACATCGTTCTTTCGCAATACTCTGAGGAGATGGAGTCTCTGTTGGGCTTTCTTAACCACCTCTTGAATTTATTTTCCAAATAAGGTCTTCACTGAGATAAACTCCTAGGAATTTAAAGGAAGAGACTCTCTCCACACAGCCCTCCCCAATGTACAGCGGGGCTAGTTCTCTCTTCCTCCGAAAGTCCAACACCATCTCCTTTCTCTTGCTGATATTAAGGTGCAAGTTCCCTAGGCACCATGTAGATATTTTTTGGACCTCCCCTCTATACGCTGGTTCGTCTCCGCCTGTTATTAAACCCATTATGGTGGTGTCATCTGCAAACTTAATAATTGCAGTAGACGGGTCAGATGATACACAATCGTATGTATACAACATATTCTGCAGACAGGAGGTCATGCTAGATTGTCTAAATCCTATGCTCTGAAAGGTTTACCATGAAATTAAACACGGAAAGCAAACTTAAAAACAACAACAACAGGTAGCTACATCTGATGGATATGAATATCTTATGAGGTAACATCCAGGAAGGCCACAACAGGGCACAAAGCAATAGCTCCCACTCCTATTGTTAGGGTTGTAACCAGTCTCCTGTAACTTTTATTCAGAGGTTCATAGGCACATGTTGTCATGATTGGTGGTCACTGATTAATTCACAGAGAGAGAGGTCTATGTCATCCCATCACCACATCTTGTGGCTATGAGTTCCACAGGTCAATTATTTGCTGTAGGAAGAAATGCATCTACTGGGGGTGTGGGCTGGAGAGAGAATTCCCCCCGCCCCCGAAGTTTCTGCTATAGGTGACCAAACTTGGAAAGTACTCACTGTCCTGCCGCCAGTCATTTGATGAAGAATATCTTGAAACTGGCTTCCGTTTTCGTACATGTCCAGTTCGATGGCTGTGTAGTTCACATTCATATCTTCAAATAGCTTCTTTGCCATGTTGCAGTAGGAGCATGTGGTTTTCGAGAAGATCACTACACAGTTGTCTGAGATAGTTCGCTAAGTGTTTTAAGAAAAGCTTGCGTGAGCAGTTTCTATACGTAATGTAAGCTTTTAAGTTTTTAACAATATCAAGGTTCTTGCATTCAGATTTTCCCCTCCTACAATTGCCTACAAAGACGTGGGGAGGCAGAATCTTCTCAAGTCTTGGCCCTCAAAAAATAATCAAAATATTTAACTATAATCTAGAAGGGAATCACCTCTTTAAACTGCAAAAATAAAACCTAAGGTTCACATTTGTCATCTTAAACATCTCGCTGTTTGCATCAAGCACGACATGCTTTTGCCAACATTCTTCACAGAATGAGCTTGAATATACCGGGTAATCGGAGTACGTTTTTAAAAAAATCTTAAGTAGAAAGAGAATAAAGAAACTAAGGCAAAACAAACATGCACTTCATGGACGTGGTAAATATGCAAAAGAAAAATAGCATAAATACATTTTTACAATACTGAGTATATTTACAGAATAGGTTTATAGAAGAACCAATAAATGAGCATTAACATCTAATTGTAAGGGAAAGAATAAAGGGGAAATACAGGCAAGCAAGCAAAGACATAATTGGGGAAAACAAATTGGAAAAGGACTAGTTACATTCCAAATGAATTCATACTTTACATGGACTATATGCAGATGGGTACAGTTACTTAGATACACCATCAAGGTCAGTCAAATGCACACATAATCCTTGGGCTCCACAGTTCCACACAGCACTCAGAATGATGAGTGAGTTTTTCCAATGATTAAAATATGTACAGCCTTTTTTGAGCTAAATATCAAATCTAAAATTTGGACCATCTTTCCACCTTGGGCTATAGGAGGTGGGCTGCCACCATAAGATAAGTGGTTTTTATTTAACTGGGGAGTTACTGCCTTTAAATACAGAAAGAAGGCACACAAGCCCACTCTGTTTGGACTATTTCTAACAGTGGTGCTGATTTCAACCATAACAACAGTCCAGGGAGTCTGGGGAAAATGGGCATAAAGGGCCAATAAGTCTTCATGGCTTCACAGTTCCACCAACGGGACATATTCTCGGAGTGTGAATATGTGCCATGTGAAAGGTGCTATCTATTAATAATTTTCATGAATTTTCTCTAATCCAAACAACAATTAAAAACATGTTTCATTATTGCATATGTTTATATTTCTGATTTGGGGATGTGTTTTCTACCCTGGGCTCTATTGAAAGGAAGGGCAGGAAATAGATTTAACAAATAATAATACAGTGGTACCTCGGGTTTAGTACTTAATTCGTTCTGGAGGTCCGTTCTTAACCTGAAACTGTTCTTAACCTGAAGCACCACTTTAGCTAATGGGGCCTCCTGCTGCTGCCGTGCCGCCAGAGCACAATTTCTGTTCTCATCCTGAAGCAAGGTTCTTAACCTGAAGCAGTATTTTTGGGTTAGTGGAGTCTGTAACCTGAAGCGTATGTAACCTGAAGTGTATGTAACCCGAGGTACCACTGTAATGTGTCATTTAAAAATGACAGGTTGTACAATAACAATAAAGTTATTATTATTATTATTATTATTATTATTATTATTATTATTATTAAAAAACCTGAAAATTTATAAACAATAATTTAAAAGTATTTTCTCTACTTCCTCATGTGTCACATATTTTGTGAACCTGAGGGCTTAATACTAATTTCTCTAAGACACTCCAGGAGCTTCTTTGGTTAAGGGGCAAGGGTATAAATGAATAAATTTCACACAAAATACTGGCAGTAGAGTACATTGAAGGTAAAAGCCATTTCCACTCACCTCTATCTGGTTAGCAGTGGCAGTGTTAGAGAAATCTGTGGTAGCAGATGTACTGTTCCCCATTCTGAAATAAAATCATAAATGGAGCCAAATGAATATATTAATGTTATTTTGCAGAGCTTAGTCAATGTTTACAGAGCAAATAACATCTAAGCAAAATGAAACAAGAAAGGGAGTTGGCAACTGTTTTTAACATTTTGCACGTCATTAAGACTTCAGCAGAACTGAACTGTTTACTGAGATCTATCTTTTTATTATTATATATGGTATTACTATTTTTTGTAACTAGATCTGAGTTCATTTTTGAAGTGGTCTATAAAATTTTGAATAAAAATAGCCTATACGTCTCTACTCAGAAATATGTCACAGTGAGATCAGAATGTATAATATTGTATAAGTGTATAAGATAAATTATTATAATTACAGTGGTACCTTGAGTTAAGTACTTAATTCGTTCCGGAGGTCCGTTCTTAACCTGAAACTGTTCTTAACCTGAAGCACCACTTTATCTAATGGAGCGTCCCGCTGCCGCCGCAGCACGATTTCTGTTCTCATCCTGAAGCGAAGTTCTTAACCTGAGGTACTATTTCTGGGTTAGCGGAGTCTGTAACCTGAAGCATCTGTAACCTGAAGCATCTGTAACCTGAAGCGTATGTAACCTGAGGTACCACTATATAAGATTACTACCTAATGAGCACCATTGACTCTGAGGAAGTCCGGATGGTGTTAAAGAACTTTTCTGCCAGCAGAGAGTAGCCCGGAAAAATCCATTGTCAACGAACATTATCTGCATTTGTAGCATACTGATAACCTCACAGGAATAGAGAGAGAGAACACCCAACTCTGCCAATTTGCAAAAGCATCCTGGCTTGGCCACCTGGAGGTAGCCCTTGTTTGCCACAGGCAACTAGGAAATAACCTGTTTACAAACCTGCCATACAACTAGTACAGCATAATTGCTTCACATGTTTTGATGCTTCATAATGTCCTTTCTGTAAATAACATGCAAACTGTTATACACTATAGTGTGCATGCTATTTACTACATTTATGCAAGTTCTTATACAGGCAGGTGGTTTTTCATGCATGCCAGGTACAATATTTTGTGCAACCTCTTTCCTAAGAATTTATGGGTTGTTTCCCTTGTGAGGAAAGACTACTGAAGATGTGTAATATGTGTTTATATACAAATATGTGTCACTCCTGGCGGGAGAATCCAGGATAAGCTTAATGCCTCCCCCCATTTTTAAATCTATGAGATCTGGAAGTGCTTACTTTTCACAGGATAACACACCATCAACTAGCAAACTTTGCAGACTGTTTCTTCATTTGGCATGACGTAACAGTATAGCCTAGGGGACGCGGGTGGTGCTGTGGGTTAAACCACAGAGCCTAGGACCCGATCAGAAGGTCGGCGGTCGGCGGTTCAAATCCCTGCGATGGGGTGAGCTCCTGCGATGGGGTGAGCTCCTGTTGCTCGGTCCCTGCTCCTGCCAACCTAGCAGTTTGAAAGCACGTCAAGTGCAAGTAGATAAATAGGTACCGCTCTGGCGGGAAGGTAAACGGTGTTTCCATGCGCTGCTCTGGTTCGTCAGAAGCGGCTTAGTCATGCTGGCCACATGACCCGGAAGATGTACGCCAGCTCCCTCAGCCAATAAAACGAGATGAGCACCGCAACCCCAGAGTCGGCCACGACTTGACCTAATGGTCAGGGCTCCCTTTACCTTTACCAGTATAGCCTATACCAGACGGTCCAACTTTTCATACCAAATGCGAGTACTTTGACACAGAACCCGCAGGCCACACAGCGAATTAAATTTCCACACCGTAAATTAAAGTGTTTGCAATATACTTAATATTACTTAGTATACACAATATATTTGATTCAATATATTTAATTAAATACACAATCAATAGGTTTAAATCTCAGCATCGTGGATTCGAGCACCACGTTGGGCAAAAGATTCTTGCATTGCAGGAAGCTGGACTAGATGACCCTGGTGGTCCCTTCCAACTCTACAGTTTTGTGATGAAGGAATCCCAGTGGTTGATCCTAGCACTAATACAAAGAAAGCATGGGATCCATTTTAATACACAAGCAAATGCGTGACACACACAAATAAATTTTCAAGGGTTTAAGATCTCTTCAAACGTTCCCACCCTGACCTGTACCAGGCTTTTAAAATAAAAATACTGCATATTGAAGCAACTTGGAGATGCTGTGGTACGTAGCTCCCTGGAACTCCTCCCCCAAAATCTGAAAGCATGAGACTCTTGACACAAAACTGCTTGTTTCTAGAGACTCTGAACCTGTTGCTGTCTGAGGGAAAGGGCCCAGCTTTGCCGATGGACACCTTATAACCAAACTGCACGGAACTGGAAGGGACATGAAAGCCTTGCCCTGGTTTGCTCCTTCTTAGGAGTGAGATGAGGAAGCATACAGCTGGAAGGGACCCCAGATCATCTAGTCCAACCCCCTGGCCATGCAGAAATATGCAGCTCAGTGCCGGATTTACATATAAGCTAAACAAGCTATAGCTTAGGGCCCCACTCTCTTGGGGGCCCCCAAAATATACTTCTTCTTAATTGTATTTCACTATTAATATACTTCTTCTTAATTGCATGTCAGTTCAACAATTACTTTGATAAAATACATATTTTGTTATGTGCAAATGGCTTTAGATACCTATTAGGTCCATAAATTACCATATGGCATATATTCAACACAAAAACAAAAATTTGTTGTTGACAAAAGATAGCTGGACATATAAAGGGCCCCATTACCTTCAGTAGCTTAGGGGCTCATCAAACCTAAATCCAGCCCTGATGCAACTGTCCCCATGTGGGGATCGAACCTGCGAGCTTGGTGTTGTCAGCACCATGCTGGAATACCAATTGAGCTGTCCAGTTGCCAAGGGAAGGAGCGTGGAGAGAAAAAAGGGAAGGGAGGCAGCAAGAGGTTGGGAGCAGAGAGAAAGCAGCAGCAGCAGCAGGCAAAAAGGGAAAATGCGGGACAAACTGAATCAATGCAGGACATAGCATTTTACATTGAAACAAGGGGCAATCTTGTATGATCAGCGGCATTTTACATTGAAACAAGGGGCAGTCTTGTATGATCAGTGGCATTTTACATGAAATAAGGGGCAATCTTGTATGATCAATGGCATTTTACATTTTACAAGGAGATGTCAAAGCGATAAACAACTACCTGACATTCAGAAGACATCTTAAGGCAGCCCTTAAGTTTTTAATGTGTGACATTTTAGTGTACTTTTGGTCTCTGTGGAAGCCGCCCAGAGTGGCTGGGGAAACCCAGCCAGATGGGTGGGGTACAAATAATAAATTATTTATTATTATTATTATTATTATTATTATTATTATTATTATTATTATTATTATTGAAACAAGGGGCAGTCCTGTATGATCAATGGCATTTTACGTTGAAATAAGGGGCATTCTTGCATGATCAAGGCAACCCTGCTTGGGGAAAACCTTGTAAAGCGCCTGCTAGGGAAGAAAACCCTTGCAATGCGGACAGCGCCATCCCCACCCCCCGTCCCACCCCCGTCAGTACTGACCTTCGCCAGCCCCGCAGCAGACTCAGCCTGGGCAGCGCCTTCAAAGCCATAGGCAACAGCAGCAGCAGCAGAAGAGGAAACAGAGGGCGGGGTTCTGCTCAGGCCCCGCCCCTTGGCCCCGTCCTCTTTCGGCCCCGCTCCTCCCTCGAGGACCCTCACTGCTTGAGGCTGGCTATCCGAGTGCCTGCGTGGTGATTATTATTTTTTCTCCACCCTTCCATTCCCAGCGCGGGCCTCTGACGGGCTTCCTCCGCTGTCCATCACGCGCGGGGGGGGGGCGGGGCCTCGCCTCAGAACGCTAGGAGCAGGAGGAGGCGGGGCTCCAGGGAGGCGTCCGTTCTCCTCGCGTGCGCAGGCGCCAGCCAGGTCAGGCCAGCGTGGGGTCCTTCTTCTCTTTCTCGCGGCGGCGGCGGCGGCTGGGCCAGTCAGTCAGCGAGTCGCTCGCTCGGTGGTTCGTTCGGTTTGTTTTCCTGTCAGCGAGTGAGGCGAAGGAGGGCGGCGGCGGCGGCGGACTTGAGGAGAGCCGAGCCGTGGGAGCGAGCGAGGGAGCGCGCGCCCCGGGTCCTCGAGGCCGGCGAAGGGAGCGAGCGAGGCTTTTCTGAGGGAGCTTTGAGGCTGAGGCGATGGCGGACGTCCTGAGCGTGCTGCGCCAGTACAACACGCAGAAGAAGGAGATCGTGGTGAAGGGGGACGAGGTGATCTTCGGCGAGTTCTCCTGGCCCAAGAACGTCAAGACCAACTATGTCATCTGGGGGTGAGTCCCAGGTCGCGAGGAGGAGGAGGAGGAGGAAGGAGAGGCGCCTTTTAAAAGCTCTTTAAAGCTGGACGACTCCAGCTGCCGGGCCGGCGGAACGGGCTGCCCCATGATACTTAAGCGTGTTGGTTCTCTGGGGTTTGGGTTGATCCCGCATGAAGAAGCTCCCCTGCCCACTGCACCCGTCTACCTTCCCAAGCTTCGTTTCCAGCGTGCACAGAAAAGTTCTGCTGGGGCTGCATAAAGATACTTTAAACGTTGCACATAGGGTTTAACGTTTCTGTGGCGATAGTTTCCTTGGGACAACAGGGCTCCTCCTGTATAGAAATGCTTTACGTTGCATAGGGGTTTAATATTTCCGTGGCAATAGTTTCCTTTGGGAACTGGGCTCGCCCTGTGGTTACATTGCATAGGGGTTTAATATTTCTGTGGCAATAATTTATTGTATTTTAATACTTTGCTGTGGCTGGGGAAACCCAGCAAGATGGGTGGGGTATAAATAAATAATTATTATTATTAGTTCCCTTGGAACTGCGCCCCAGCGACAAGAACCCTGCATCCATGCTGTATGATAAATACCATATTTTTCTGTGTATAAGACGGCTCCATGTATAAGATGCCCCCTACTTTTGGGGACTCCAAATTAAGAAAACGCCCCTCAGCACTACTCGTGTATAAGACGAACCCCCATTTTAAACCTTTTTTTTTTGTAAAAAAAACCTAGAAAAATATGGTATTCAGGGGAGGGGATGAATATTTTCTTTAAAAAAAAGATGTACAAAGGAGGGATAGAATATCTACAGATTTATAATCATAGTCTTAATCTCCAGCCCCATGTTGGGCAAAAAGATTATTGTGTTGCAGGGGGTTGGACTAGATTGCCCTTAGGGTGCCTTCCAACTCTGTGATTCTCTGATTCCACCCCCAGTGACTGGGGTAGGTTGCCTTTGCACACAGGGCTCTCGTATAGTGCTTTTCAATGCATTTGCCTCATTCTTTTTTAAAAAGAGCCATTTAGCCAGAGCCTGTGTCACCGCATCATGCAGGAACAAGTTCTGTAAACTGGGGGTGTCAGCACTGTAGCTTTGTGCGTGCTTGCCGGGGAGGGAGTGCTGCGTGCTGTATTCAAGTCATGAATTTGTGGGGGATGCAGGTGGAGAGGTGTGTCTTTCTGACCTCCTGCAAGAATGAGGAGTATAGGGTCCCTAGGAAGAGTTAGGAGAGTCAGGCTGGAGTCTTGTACGTACTTTCCGGGAAGTAAGTCTCGCTGAACTCCGCAATTCATTGGGTAATGGGAAGTGTGGTGCTTCAAGTGGTGCAGGCCTACAACTTCCACAGTCCTTGATCATTGCCCACGCTGGTTGGGGCTGATGGGAGTTGTAGTCTGGCAACAGTTGGAGGGCCACAGGTCCCTCATCCATGGCATCACATGCTTAGGGGCAGTATTAAGGTGAAGTCATATTTGTTTATACCTGGGAATAAAGAATTGCAGAAGTCAGTGGGTCTTGTTATTGAATTGCACACTCTCTCACTTAATTGAGTTTTAAGAAAGAGAGGACGGCAAGGAAGAAAGGAGTCAATCCTTGAAAAGTAGAAAGAAAGCGCTCAGGATGGGGATGGCCTGTGACTCCTATGCAAATAGTAATGTTCTTTTTGTTGAAGGAAGAATTAAGAGTCGGGTTAACAGTTTTATAATTTGGCCCTGCTTCTGCGCCTGTAGCTGGAATCAAACATGGAAGAAGGAACCAAATTGCACGCAAGAGCTAAAGTTGGAAAGGCTCTTTCTTTTGTTTAATCTCTATGTCTGAAGATTCACCTGCTTAATTTCTGCCTCAGGGCTGCTACTAGAGAAACAAGAAGTGAAAAAATGAAAACTAGCTGGGGAACTGTAAAAACATACATATATGAGGGTCAGTCCCATTAAATCCAGATGCATGCTTATCTGGGAATGAGAGTAACTGGTGTTACCATTTGGACTGGCATCTGAGTAAGCATAGTTAAGACAAAGCTGTAAGAATTTCTCTTCCACTTTTTTCGTACACATACTCCAGATGAGTGCAAGTGAAAAAGGAGTCCCCACAGTCTGGGTTCTTCTTTCAGTACTTTCTTCTATCAGAAGTACTTTCTTCTTTCTGGGTTCTTCTTTCAGTCCCCACAGTCTGAGTTCTTCTTTCACAGTGTAGAATCTTAATTTTTAGGGAAAGTATGGAAAGTATGCAAGCTTTAAGAAACCATCCTGTTTCTGGATACCAAGATTTGTATAGAAGCAGTAACAGCCTGCAGTCCTAAACCTACCTATTTAGGAGTAAGTTCCATTTAATTCAGTAAGGCTGATTTCTGAGTAGACATGGTTAGGTTTGTTCCAATTATTCCAGTGCTGATAATCCTTTTTGAGGATAATTCTTACTAGTTTCTTTTGACCTGTATCTGTTGGGAGAAGGGTAAAGAGAATGCTTCCCTCCGTGGGAGAGGGAAAGGGTAAGGACAACAGAAGGACCCCCCCATTTTTCTTACCTTTCTCAATGCCAAATGGGGTTCACTGTGGAATCCTAATGCAACCTAGTTGCAAAGTTGGATCCAAGAGCCAAATGTAGAGTTTCCAAACATGACTCTTCTGAGAGGAGATTGGGATGCACTGATTAGGATTTTCCCTGGGTTACAGAGCTTCCTGCCGGAGTGTGATTTACTGTCTTTGAACTGTAGAGCTAAAGATTATGCACCTGTTCACCCCTCGCCCAGCTTATCTTAGGAAGTTTTGAGCGATAGTGGTAGTTGTGTCTTGCTGAAGTTTGTTCAGAGATTCATGTTTATCTAACCCTCTCTCCTGGCTAACTTTGATTGGTTAATTGTGGCGTTATTTTCAAAAGTTCTTTATCTGATTGGCACCAGGACTTGTCACCTGGCTGCTGGAGATGCATGTTCCATCAAGAACTGTGCATGGCTGTGCAGTTCAAGAAGGAAAACCCTTTCCTCTAAATGCAAGTTTTATAGCTGTATATTGCCTGGCAATGCATGCCTAGTTATGTTGTGCACACTTTGGAGGGTATACTACGGAGTTTTTAAAACAGCTTTAACAAATTGGACCGTAGTTCTCTCTTAATAATTGGCATGTTGTAGCTTGTATTGCTAACAGTTAAAGTTGATTCCACAGTCTGGTGTAGTTTAAGCTGTTAACTAAAACTGGCCCAGTTTTTGACTTGGCTGTGAACTGACTAGGAGATGATTGCACACCAGAGGGGTTAGAGCTGCTATCAATTTTAAAATGCCAATACTGCCTGCCTTTCTTGGGGAAAATAGTAAGAGCCATCAATGTTGTTATAATTAAAACACTTGCACAAAATGGTGATGAAGCACCTGTACAGAAATACAAATTTACAAGATGGCAAGTTATAAGCTGCACAGGCTCCCCAGACCATGTTGCCTGAACCAGAGATGGAAATATAGTGAGGGTGGAGAGTTTGCCTCTATGGAGTGAGGATGGGTACTAAAGAACTAGGCAAGTTACAGTTGGGGCATAAGTGCAGCAGGAGGGGAATCTCAAATGCTCTGCACTCACTGCTCAGAGCAGAGTCAAAATAGACACTTAGGTTTGGGATATGTGCAGGTGAACCTAAGTTTTTCTGGGGGGTGTAACAGTATTGTACAGATACAGACTCCAGGGATACATGATTGATGTCATATCACTGTTCACCGCACATTCTGTGGTAAACCCAGATTTTCTGTTACAGATAGGTAGCCGTGTTGGTCTGCCATAGTCAAAACAAAAAAAATTCCTTCCAGTAGCACCTTAAAGACCAACTAAGTTAGTTCTTGGTATGAGCTTTCGTGTGCATGCATGCACACGAAAGCTCATACCAGGAACTAACTTAGTTGGTCTTTAAGGTGCTACTGGAAGGATTTTTTTTTGTCCAGATTTTCTGATTACTGTCCAAGGACCCATTTTCTAATTGGTGTTTGCATATTCAGTCGGAGAGCCAGAGGTAGCTTTGAAGTCCTTGCTCTATGCTGAGAGGCAAACAACAGCACTTTCTGGGTGCTGTTCAAGGCTGCATGGGGGAGGAAAAGCAAAGGGAACCTTGATTATGTACATGGCTTTCCCATGTGCCAGATGTGTTGGATTACAACTATACTGAAGAAACATAGCAGCCGAGTTTCTATCGTGTGCCACAAAAGACAAGCACACAAGGATACCTTTAACTTCAAGTTAAACTCACTACGTACAACAGTAGATTATAAGCCCATCAATTTACAACTTTTTTGGTGAGTTTTTAAAAAGTTTGACTACTTTTGTGCTCTTTGCTTTTATTCTGAAGGTCATCTAGTTTGGGGTATATTGATTGCTCCTCTCCTTTTTTGGTTGCCCTTCAGGCAAGGAATCTTTTTTTTAAAAAAATGCATGTGTTCCAGGTGCCCAGAAAATGAATGAAGGAAAAGTGTTAGGATAGGCAAACTTGAGGGCCACATTGAAGAAATAATTGGCAA